ACAAGCAGGAATAACAACAGACTAGGCATCCCTGACCAACTGTTTTGCATAGTTACAAAATTTTTCTTAAAGCTAGCAGAGGAGTAACATATATGGCATGCTTAAAAGATGCTTTAAAAACAACAGAATAATGAAAAAAACCCAAATCATAGGACACACAAACTGACTTTCAACAATATATTTTATAGTTCTAGCAGAAATGCTTTATATTTTTTTTCATCTCCATTCTCAAACATTATTCAGAAAATTAATGTTAGTTTATTTCTGAAACAATATTCTGTTCCTGTTAAGTAATATTTACTTAGCATAGAAGTTGTTGTATGCTTAAAAAATGCAATTAACATTATTATTTTTAAGGGTAGAGAGGCACACTAATCTGAATATCCCTTGTATGCAATATTTTTCAAACATAAACATGGAAAATAAAGTGAAATTTTCCGAGACATCTGTATTTATCTCAGTTTTGTTGCATGTCACAAGATGTACGTATAAAGAAGCAACATGTTTCCTTTGCTTTGTAAATAAGTAAGGATGAAGTAGCATTTGGGCTTTAGTCATTAGCAGATAAAATGGAATTCTTCTTATGAAATTCATCATCAGGTTTACTCCCCAGAACCCTGAAGTACTTGGAAGTAAAAACAAATTCTAGTGAAAGACAAAGGATGCTGACATCTGATTTTCTGACCAGGTAAGATCCAGGTAATAGTACAAAAGACTTCTCAACTTCTACTGATACATCTCAACCACAACATAAAGCAATGACTACCAGGTAATTTTTCAGTTCTTCTATTAAGTTTGCAGGAAAATATGATAGACTCAAAACAGACTGCCAAGGGCAGGGAAACAGTAGCAACAAATGAAACCAGTGTTGTTTTTTCTTTGAAGGACACAAAGCAGAAGAACTGTGGTAGGTGTGAGCATGGCAATTCAGATAAGTATCCTACAGAATAGTGCAGACAGCTTTATTTAATACTCTGCTGGGATTCCAGCATTCTCCAACTGCCTTCAACCTCTTGTTTGCTTTAGGTGAGTGACTACAGACCACTTCCATTTGAAGACCTTTCTATCAACAAACCAGACTTCACAGAAGCAGCTTTACATTCCCCCATTTGTGAATGATTTTTCAATTTAAAAGTTGACTGCAGACACCAGATTTGATTAAGTGCTAAATTCCAATTAAGTGGAAAAACATGCCAATTCAAGACACAGTGAATTTTTCTGTATAGCTTGTTTCATATTATGTTGCTGTAACAAAGCTAAGTCAATAGCATTTTTCATCCCAAACTCACAGCACAGTTCTGTACCAGCAGGATATTTTGTGGTTTTGACAACATTTGACATTCCAGGGCTACCAACAGAGCCAAAGGGCAAAAGCAAAACCCCTTTGGTTTGCTTTATCAAGTGATATTTCTCAATTATTGCTGATCCATCCAGTTCTTGTAGTACCAACCTCACCTTTTCTGTGACAATCTGCCAATAATGAATTGTCTGAAGTTACAGGTAGCAATGCAGCTGTGTTTCTATTGCATGTTGTTACACCACAAATACTAACAACAATCAATACAAACATCAGAACCAGATTTTGCAATAAGCAGCCTTAAAGGCCTTAACACTGCTCTCTAAAATAATAATACCACTTTAGTCTTCCCCAACAAAAAAGATTTAAACCACATTTTCTGCTTTAAAGCAGAACCACTTCCACTACAGATCAAAAAACCAATTGTTTACAGCACAAAGGCTAAAATACAAAAAGGAAAACAATCACTAATGAAACCTCTTTTTATCTCAGAAGCTGGTCTTGAGTTCAAAGACTAAGCTGCTCCATTTGAGTCCATTTTTGGACAGGAAAAGGGTAAATCCAAAACTGTAATCCTCAAGCTCTCTGTTTTTAGGCTAATACGAGAAACAGCTGATGTCAGAAGCACGACAGCTTAATACTTTACTCATGCAGATGTCTAGGAGTAATTTGGTTTTGACTGGGTTCTGATTACTTCTAAGTCACATTAAGGTCTACATTTCTTTCAGACCTTGCTTGGGACTTAATCTGTAGGTGCTCCCCTAAACATTCCAGCTGAAGTTCTGTGGAGTTCTATGCAAAACATTAGTCCTTGTATTTGGGGAATTAAAAATATTATTATTATTAATCCTGCAGCTGTATTATGTGGAGGTATTTTTATGTTCAGTAAGTGGTTAGGTCACTCAGGGGCAATCAGCACTAAAGATCATCTTCACAAAGTAAATAGTTATCTGCAAAAACAGCAGACTCTTTTATGAGGATCTTTCCTCTTTCCCCTGTATGAGGTTGAAGACAACACAGAAAGCACTTTTCCTCTTTTATTGTTATAGTGAAAGAATTCACTATGAGTTTCTGTAATCACCTGACATCAGGTAGCAAAAGGAATACTCAGGCAAAAAGGGGCTTTGTGCCAGTGCCCAATGAACTTCTGAAGAACATAAAAGTTTCCTGGTTCTGAAGATTTCTGAGACAGCCATGCAGCTACTACATGCAATACCTCGGTTGCTGAACCCATACTGTTCAGCAGGAAGAGAAAGACAAAAGACATCAGCTGTTGCATGAATTTGTGTTTCCCCAGAACCCGATTTACAATATTTCTCAATATATCTCTTGCCTGAGCTGGGCAAGCTGGGAAGCAGTGTTTCCTGGGCAAATACTGAAAATGCCTAGCCAGGACCCTGCCCCCACTTCTATGGTTTAGTGACCAATATTTAAGAGATCACCTTCACAAAAATATTAGATTATTAATAGGTCATTGAAAACTTCTGAGTGTTGTGAGCAGGATCCTTGGCAAGCTATTTTAAAGAGGTTGATTTCTGCCTTGAAGATCTGTTACAATTTTGGTGCTTCACTGTGTTGCTCTGCTGAAACAACTGGACTTGAAAAAACTACATTACATTTTAACAAGAACTTTTTTCATCTCCCCTAATACAGCAGATCTCAAAAACTTAGCCTTTAAAACTGCAGTTTCAGACTGTTGGAGTGGCAGCCTGCAGGACTGATAAGCAAACTCTCTACGGCTGCTCTTGAACTGCCCACATCATTAAAGATCAAGCAGGTCAGACTCAAAGTGGAACAAAAAATTTCTTCCCCCATCCCAATATTCAAAACTCTATAATGTGTAAGATAGAGAAGTGAGGATGGGAAAAATGAGGGGAAGGGAAAGAACAGCAGCAAATGCTCTAGATCTAGGCAAAAGATCTTTGATGTCGAACTTGAGTCATAAACTCTCCCCTGCTAACTTTGGTATCAGGAGTATGTCAGAAATGAGGGTGGAGAGGGTGAAGGAAAAGGGAAATTGCAGACATACAGGGAGCACTGGGGAGTATTCACACCCAGAAACAGCCAGTGACAAGTCTGAGTATCTGAAATTTCTGCAGATGCTTTGCTGTTCTGAGGAGTCATTTAGTATCATTTCAGATGTTTAAGTGTAGATTATAGAGCTAAATTTTCAGTCACGTTTGTCTTTTATTAACTTGGAAGACTTTTCAAACAGCAAAAGTTTTCAGACCATTATTAAACTTGTGTCTCCCACTATTGGAACATGTGGGAATGGATCAAAAGCTAAAAACTAACTCTACCTAAAGTATCTGTCTTCAGCTATTAGTGTCTTTGTTTTGTTACTCAGAGCCCCTTGACCTAAGTTTTCCTCATATCATTGGTGCATAAAAGGTGGAGGTTTTATATACAGCACATTAGTAAAGTCTGAGATTTTTGGGAATAAAACAACACCTGCCAGATGAGACATGCTATTTTAAAATCCCATCTGATTAAGGAAAAAGTGAGTGCCTCTCATCAGCACAGGGAAGCGAGAAAGACTTGGAAGGAGATTGCATTTCAGTGAATCCCTTGATTTTTGGGTTACATTCACGTCTGTCAACAATTAATTAATGTCAACACATACATATGCCAGATTGATGGTTAAATATCTAGCAAGAATAAACCAGGTGTTTTCAGGGAAGAAAATATTTTGCTTTAAATATTAACTTACTCCTCCATTATTTTTGACATACAAATTGTACTGTCTAACTACACTTCTGCAATGAAAGACTAATGGCATAAAGGCTGTGAGCTATTCACAGAAGACAAATTTTTTGTGCAGCTGTAAGCCACAGCATCCCTATAATATCACAGTGGAAAGTGTGCTGCCTGTTCAACTGATTTCTGGAAGAAACCTCTGAAACCATCTGCTGAAGAACAGGCCTGGTAGACACTACTCAGCCAAGAGTGAATGAGTTTGGTAACCAGACGAAGTTACAAAACACTGAGCACATGTAGGAAGAAGCTGTTACTAGTGCCATCATTTTATGGCAATTGCAGACTTCAGTTATGTTTAATTGAATCACTTCTCCATGCCAAAAAACATAGTAAGAAATTAGCATAAACATTGGAATTCATAAAGATAGAATTGCAATGCCAGCTTCACATTTCTTCTTGTTCAACTAAAAAGCTAATGTTTGCCTTCCTTTGAAATCACAAGTGTTTAGTACAGTGCTTTGGCTACACCATTTCCACAAACTGATCTAAATCCATTTAAAATACCTTCTGTTAGGTGCTTTTATGGAAGACGGGGGGAGCTAAAACCAGGAAAGCATTTCTTTCTCTACCTGTGAACAATAAAAGCTAGTAGACTGAAGGCAAACTTGAAGCCATCTTCATCATCTCCCATTTCTCCTCCAGCTTGTCTAGCTTCTTCTTATCCAAATCATTAGAGCTCTATTCCATTATAAAACTTGCATGCAACAGACACACACAAGCATGTAATAAAGAACCTATTTAACTGGAAGCAAAAATAATGCATTTTACTTCCTTACACCCTAAGCACAGATGTTTCCAAAGAGTTGTTAAAAGTTTGGCATAACTCTGTAGGAGCAGCTTATGACCAATTACAATACACGTGAACAGATTCAGAGCAATTTTGTGTAGTGTGCCTCTCCAGAAAATTAGTATTTTGTACCTTTATGGTAAGGGTGCAGATACTAACCTGCCAAGGTCGATCCCAGTCAAGAGGAATAGGAAATGCTCCAAACCAAGCTCCAAGTATACTGCACACAGAAGTAATCTGTAGACTGCTCTCCCATATGGACATAGCTCTGTAAAAAGTGTGTTGGAAGTTTTCAACAACAGCAGAAGTTACCATGGCAGAGAGTTAGATCAGATTTCTCCCCAAATTTTTGAGGCTACAAACAGACATAAAAATTCACATATTTGATAAATAGCATGCAGGTTTCTCCTAAAACATACAAACTGGAAGTAAAAATCTAAGTTGCATATTGTATCTATAATTACAATCTTTTAATACCACACTTTCAGGATTTGTTTTTCCTTGAGATGTTTACTGCAAAACCTAATTTATGTTACTTTGAAACACTACTAGACTAAACAAATAAATCTATCTTGATAGCTGTGTGCATTGCAGGGAGAGGCAGACATGGAAGTGTACTGTGGGACTGTACAGAATAGCACAAGCACAGTCACAGAGGACTCTGTGGTGTAGACATATTTGATGACTACAACAATTCAAAATTTAACACAGAGGTCCATTATGAGAATATTTCAAAACAAGTTTCCATCAACTGAAAAGAAACACTGCAAGTAAATGTAACTGCACATGGGAGCCCTTTGGTAGCAGTGCATCCAAGTTCAAGTACACTGGCTGCAGGATAACTTTTTTGCACACTAAAGAACTCTTACACAACCAGTCATGGCACACATTGTAAGAGATGTTAAATTACTTCAGTCTTCAGTTTATAGCCTTCTGCTACTGCTGATTTCAAAAGTTTTTGAAAAGCTGGATTTCTGTTAAACAGATGAGCACTTACTACCATCAATGCACCAACTGATCGCTCTGCTCAGGCCATGAACATTTGGGTACCAATTAAGAAAAGAGCAACAGAAGCTCAGAAGGCAGTAGAGCAGTTTCAGGACAGGAGAACCAGACTAGTAGAATCACTGCTCCAAATCAGTACAGCAGGAGAGCCGAGTTTAAAGTTTGCTACATCTCAGATTATAAATGTACACCTGTTAGCTTCAGCTAACGGAGGAAAAACAAAGAGCATTTTTCTAGCTCGAAGACTAGATGCACAGTAAACTCTGAACTTTGCATGTGCTGTTTAGGTTGGATGATATGAACACTTGGTTTTGAAGAGAATAAAATTTCTTTACTTCCAAGTACAGACTGCTGCACTTGCTATTGACCAAACAGCTCACAAATTTAAAGCGAACATTTTTCAATGTTTGCAGAAAAAAAATGTCTTGCAGACTACAGTACTGACAGTGCAAGGTTGACATTTTGAGCACAACTATTTCTTCTACAATCACATGAGCCCTTTAACTTTAAATACTCCAGTTCACAATCCTACCAGTTTGAGATTCTTTTTACTGAGAAGTCCTGATGTAACCGGAAAACTGTTTAGGAGTCTGCACACAGAAAATTCTTTTGAATTATTTTCAGAAGCTGAATAACTAAGCAGGGAGCTGCCAGGCAGAACAAGGAAGAGAACATTCACAACAACCTTAAAGCAGCAAAAGAGACAACAGAATACACCAAGGACTGACTGAGGTACAGTTATACCTCACAAGATATCTTGTGTGTGTGGCAGATTCACCAGAGACTGCTGTACCATATGGAGAGATCAGACCGAGTTCCAAATGCAAAACAACAGAATTAGCAAGGCACGGTGCCCAAGTGAAAAACAGCCATTGGCAGTTTGGCAACTATTTCAGCTGCTAATTGAACCCCTCTGCAGCAGGGACTGGCTACCCAAAGGCAACCTGACTTGTCCTCCAGCATCATCCTGAAGGAGCAATCACTTTTTTAAGTCATTACTTAAGTACTCACTTTTCTTCTTGGAATGACTGACACTTACTGGGATTTTTGAAGCTATTATTTAAACCATGACATAAACTCCTCATTTGCATAAGACTACCGACTGCAGCAATGTCTATAAACTTTGCATTTTCCATATTTCTTTCATTTAAACTAAGATAATCCTGCAGACAAAAGTAGCAATGATTAAGATAATAAACGAACACTAGTGTCAGAAAGGTCCTTAAAAGCCTAAAGTAATTATTTAACCCCTTTAAATAACATAGTACATTCAGTTCCACATCAAATAATGTTTGAATTAAGAGGTTAGCTGACAAAATAATCTCTTGAGACAGCTCCTTCATAGACAAGATTTGGAATTCTTGGCTGTAGTAGGACTAAATACTAAGGAGCCCTTGGCGTGTGATGATGGCCCTACATTTACAAGGGGCATTTAATGTCTGTAAGAGTATGTAGTTCACAAACAAAGTGATAAAATAGGCATAATGAAAACAGGAAGAAGTCCTAATGATGTGGTTTTTTTACTATTTTTTGGCAACATCCAAATAAGATCTCTTTTCTACCCTGATTACACCTTATAATTGCTACTATAATTTCAACACAATTTCTCAGAGCAGTGATTTGAAACAAACAGTCTCCAAGAGGAGAGAGAGGAAAAACCCCAAAAAACTGGTTTCTTAAAGACTGTTATGCAGGAGGCTATTTCAGCTAAGTTACTGAAACACCATTTAAATAACAGCCACATGCTGCCACGAATGCTGATAACCCTTTCTGCAGCTCTTGCTTCCCTGTAACCGCTCACAGCAGCACATGACAGAGAATGAGCAGTGCCATGACCCTGACATCAGTCACAACTCCCGATGTCAGAGTAAGGAGCCCAGAGATGCTGGCGTGGGCTCACTCCTTCCCAAAGGCAGAATTAGTGAAAAGGGCCCTATTTATAGCTAACTAAGAATGGAAGGGTTTGTCATGTAGAATACACAGACTGTTTCTCACACATTCTATGTGCACATAGGCTTAAGGTTACTTAATTCTAAACTGCACTCAGGTACTTAAAAACAATTTTTTTTCCATACTAAGCTATACACCTAATCAGACATTCAAGCTAACTGATCCAGTGCAATTCAATTCCCTAAATTCTGCTTTCAAGGAAAGCAGCTCTGTTGATTTCACCTAACCATCCTTTTCTTTCATTTAACCAGTCCCACCTCATTCCACATGGTTAAGTTAGAGACAACCTTTTAATGCATCATGTCTACACTCATCTCATGCCCAAATCTAAGATGTTCCAATTTCAAATGAAAAAACACAGGATTATTTTTAAATAATGCAGCTTGCTTTTGTAAGCAAGCTTAAAATTATTTAAATAATTGTAGCAGCTTGCTACAATCCATAAAAAACCCTGCTACAATATTTCTTTGTAGTGTATATTCACTAAAAGTGTAAACAAACATCATTAATAATAAACATTTTTCTCACATAATGTCACATGGCTCACTAGTAAGAAGTACTGACAAATCCTCACAGCTAAAGTGTCAAAACAAGACAACTGCTTCCCATGCAATGACTGTGCTGAAATTGTGTTAAGATCTAGACTAGGAAAGAAAGAAATCAACAGGCATTCAAAATCTACCTGGCACAAAGACAGACTGATATTGTCATAAATCTGTTCAATTCAGCTGTTAATTCAGATGCAAAACCTCCAAAGATGACCAAGTGAATCAGCAAAGATTTATTTTGGCTAAATGACTCCTTGCTTTTATTACAGTATATTTACACTTCCACTGAAAAAAACAAGTGTAAATGACTTGAATAAGGATTCAAGATATTTTTCAGTGCATTGAGAACTGAGATAAACCAAAATTTAATACCTGAAAGTAGCATTAAAGTCTCCTCCTCTAAAGGAGTGCAAACCAAAAATAATTCCATAGGTTAGCAGTGTAATACAACCTTTTGCTGTCTTCTGAGATGAGACTTCACCATTACAAACTATTAAAAGGGAATGAATACTAAAATCTCATTGAATCTCAAGCATATGTGAAGCCTCTTTATGTTTCAGTGTTCCATTCTTTCAACCTGCTATTATTTATGGAATGACAAAAGGCAGAAGAAATGGAAATCTTCGGAAAAATACATTATCCTTGATAGACGCTATTGCCATGGCTGCGACTGGAGGTGAAAATGTGGTTAGAAGGCTTGTTTTACTTTAAACATACTCCTGAAAATATTAATCCTTGAAAACTCTGACACTGAAAATAGCTTCCTTTGAAATTGAAAAAAGAGCATGGGTTAATATCACATAATTAAGAACAGAGCAAGTTATGTGTAATTTTCAGTATTGTACTCAAGTTTAAAACAGTGCTTGTTTTGACTTCCTATTCCTACTTTAAAAGTCGTATTTCCGAAGGTACTACTGGATCGTGTGCAAGATTCCCCATGCACAGCTCAGTGTCAGGTCTCCCCTTTATTTGACAACCATCATATACAACTGCACAATGTTTTTAGTTCTGTAGAATATGGGCTGGAAACTTTACTTCCTTCTCACAAAGTGAGATTTAGCATCTGAGCACCAAAAATAAAAAGCCGTTTTTCTGAATCAGTGTCTCCAAATAAATCTTTCTTTGTCAGAAAAGCTTCCATATGTCTGTAACCACAAATACAAAAACCACCCAAGATGTTTTCTTTTCTTTACAAAAATTCCATTACATATTTTTACACCAATTCTGTCAGTTTCTATTCAGAGAAATATCACAAACTTTAGATTAGGACTTACCCATTTTTACTAAATACCCGTATCCATGCCTGTATGTTTGGTCCCAGCAAACACAAGCATTGTAAAGTAGTAAATGTAGACAGAAGAACTGCAAACAAAAATGTCTCAGTCACTAACCTACAAAAAGAAAAAGAATATTACAAAATTAAGTGAGGTGGTTGCTAATGTTCTAAAAGTTTCAAGATTTAGGAAGAAAAAAGCCCCTCTAACTCAACTTGTGAAAGCACGTGTGCTTTCTTAAACCTCATATTAAAGAATAAAATATTTTCTTCTTACTCTGTAGAATAGTAAAGGAAGCTGGAAAGAGTTCTGCTGTTATCTCAAGAGTGAGATGTAGCAATTTTTAAAAAACCACAGGTGTACTTCACATAGATCATTAGTTCTAAATTGAAGTGTGCTAGGACACTCACTCCATTATTCCATTTATTTCTCCAGTTGTGACAGCAACCATGACACTAAACTACATGAAACAATTGTTAGCCAACTACTTAGTGTATCTCTCAACACCCAGGTTGCTTCACACTTCTTTCTTTAAACTTTCATAACAGTTAGAACACTAATATCAAAAGGATGAAAAATAGGCAAGATGTGTGGTTTAGAATCATATAGGGAAAATGACTAAATGAAACTCCAAAAAGTGTTTGTGTCCACATGTTCACCATAAAAATTAAAGTAAACAGTTGTTTGTAACCGTGTTACAATTTTTATTTACAGAACTCTCATTTAAGAGCTGGCTTCCAAAAAAACAACTGAACAAGCAAACAAAAAAAAACCCAAAACAACCCAAAACCAAGAGAAAGCTGAAACAGCCACCCTTCTTCCCCCACCTAGGAGCTGATCCCTTAACTTCCAGTGTACCAGAAAATTCCCAAGTACTTATACCAACACCTGAAAGGAGAGCTGCCCCTTAGAATATTTAGAGAAAGAGAGGGTCTTCTGACTTACTCTATGAGAGGTGCTCCATAAAGAACAATAATCGCATGAAACAGTATGCAAGACATGAAAAAGTATATACAGCATTTTAGAAATCTGGATATCTAAAAAAGAGCAATGAGGTATCAGAACAATGCTTCAAACCAGAACATAAGTAACACACACAGTCTATATCTTATCAAGAGCATGGTACTCTGATTACTTCTTTCATTGCAGCTGCAGCACAATATAATAGCATGGCACATTTCAAAACAGTTTTCTATATATTAATACTTTAAATAAATAATTAAAAAACATCACACTCTACCTACAATTGTTTTTTTGTGCATCCCATTAAGCAGGGCAAACACACAAAAAATATAACCAGGAATTACAAGATAACCATAAGTAATTTTATTGGACATTTTTACACTTCTGTTTTACATCTGACTGTCATATCCATTCATTAAAAGGCAACTCTCACAAAAAGTGAAAAAAAATTTAAAAGCAAGAAAACACACAATATAAAAAAGTCTGCTATGTAAAGAATCAAAATTACATTAACTAAAACTACATGGCATCTCTTGAACTTGGCATCTTAAATTCTGAATATATTTGAGAAATATCCTTAACTTTCTATAAGTCTGCAAAACACATAATATTCAATGAACTTAAACGAGTTTCTGGGTACTCACTATATCATGTAGAAGCACAAACACTTGATAAACAGTTCTGGTAAGGTCTGTTCTGATCAGGTCACCAATGCAAAATCCGTAACTTTCCTTGAACCCTTATTTTTCTACATTTATTCCTTTCTATATTTATTTCCTGGGATGAAATCTCACCTAGAACATGAAGTCTGCTTCATTTTCAAATCACAGATGGTTAAAACACTTGCTTCCTTCCCATCATGGTTTTGTGCGTTTCACATCCTCCTAAGTCAGCAAAACTACACAGGAGCTTTGCACACAAAGATATGCTGGCAGGGATGATTACTTAAATGCTTAAAAACCACCTCAGAGCATTACATCTTGCCTGGCTCAGCAAGTCAGAAGTAGAAGACTATTACCCCGACTTCAAAACTCTGGGGAATTCCCTCCCTGCTGGGTAAGTCATGTGCTGCTCCAAAATCACTCTGTTCCAAAGTTTTTCATTGGGATTCATATCTTTAATGCTCCCCGCTGCAAACTGTAACTACAAAAAGTTTCTCCCAACTTTAGATTCTTCTGTATGCAAATTTCATCATTTCATCGTACAAGGAAATGCAGACATTTTAATACTTTTCCATATGATTTTTTCAGTTGTTGAAATGTAGCATAACATCTCTTTTGTGTCAGATTCTGACTTTTTTTTTCCCTTTTAAAGTTATTACAAACTTACAACTACACACCAGAAATGTGTGATGACATTTTTTCCTGATATATCCACTTATCAAGAAGATAAGCCAGGCCTGGACTGCAAAATGAGTTTTGAGCCATTTCATTTTGCCAGGTTTTGCCACCACACAAATTCTTGGGACTACAAACAACGCTGCACTGACAAGAAACAGGAAAGCACAGAATCACTCACCTGAACAGGTTATTTACAGGTAGAGAAAGTTTAACATCATGAAAATACTGAAAAATCTGTTTCAAAAGGTGCTGCACTCAACTCACTAATGGAAAATGAGACAAATCAAAAATTGTCTTCTTTCTCATTTGATTACTTCACAGAATTTGCTTCCCCTCTGTATTGCCTGGTAACAACTTAAGAATTTAAAAAAAATAAAAAATCTTACCTTGTGACCAAAGGAACGTCTCTTAGGAGACTGATTAGGTTTAAGGACTAAGTGCAAGATTATATTAAGGGTAGCGACACAAACAGAACAGACACACAGCCACGCGAGGTGCGTTCCCAGCACGCTGAATCCGTCCAGGACGAAAGCGGGGCCCAGCGTGGCCAGGACGATGGCCAGGGCGCAGAGCAGGTTGGCAGCCAGCAGCCTCCACACCTCCGCCTCCCTCATGGCGTCCGGGCAGCGGCACCTGCAACACACCGAGCCCCGCCCCGTCACCGCCGTGCCGGGACCGCATCCTCCCCGGCCGCGGCGCGCAGGGCAGAGCTCCGGGCCGGCCTGGGGGCCAAGGGGAGCACTTTGGGGCAGGAAACAGCGTTTGTTCAAAATAAAACCAAACCCCGCGCGGCCGCGGGCGCCGCTCCCGCCTCTTACCGCGGAAAGCGCGGCGCCGCCCGGCTGCGGAAGGCGGCGGGGCCCGGCCGGAGGCGCTTCCGGGGCGGTGCCGGAAGCGGCGGCGGCTGTGGAGGGGCCGCCATGGTGTGCGACAAGTGTGAGTACGGGGGTACGGGGGGCTCTGCCCAACCCGGCGGGCCCTGCCCTGCCCTGCCCGCGGGGATCCAGGGCTCCCCTGAGCGGAGCAGCCGGCGCGGGTCCCAGGCCGCTCAGGGCAGGCCGCGGGTGGCGGTTCCCGTCAGGGCCCTGTGTGAGCTGTCGTTCTCTCCTGTGAGAGCTGTCGTTCTCCGTTCTACGCCTGTGAGCGTAATTAAGTGCATAGTTTAAATTATTCTGTCCTGTATCAGCAATAGAGTGAGCGGCAGGACCGGGGAAGGGATTGCTCCGCTGTACTTGGCACTGGTGAGGCCACATCTCCAGTGCTGTGTTCAGTTCTGGGCCCCTCACTACAAAAAGGACGCTGAGGTGGCGGAGCAGGTCCATACGAGAGCAGCAGTGCTGGTGAAGGGTCTGGAGCATAAAGTTTGATGAGGAGCGGCCGAGGTTGTTGAGGTTGTTTAGTCTGGAGAGATGGAGGCTCAGGGATGGCCTTATGACCCTCTTCAACTCCCTGAAAGGAGGTTGCAGCCAGGTGGGGATCGGCCTCTTCTGCCGGGCAACAAGCCACAGGACAAGGTGACATTGTCTTGAACTGGGCCATGGGACATTTAGAATGGACATTGAGAAGAATTTCTTCCTAGTCATGGGGATGAGACATGGGAATGGGCTCCAGGAAGGTCCCGGGCTGCTCAGGGCGGGCCGCGGGTGGCGGTTGCCGGCAGGGCCCTGTGTGAGCTGTCGCTCTTCCCTATGTGAGCTGTTGTTCTCCATCTGTGGAGCGTATTAATGTGCATTGGTTAAATGATTTTGTCCTGTATCAGCAATAGCGTGAGCGGCAGGACCAGGGAAGAGATTGCCCCGCTGTACTTGGCACTGGTGAGGCCGCATCTCCAGTGCTGTGTTCAGTTCTGGGCCCCTCACTACAAAAAGGACGCTGAGGTGGCGGAGCAGGTCCATACGAGGGCAGCAGTGCTGGTGAAGGGTCTGGAGCATAAAGTTTGATGGGGAGCGGCCGAGGTTGTTGAGGTTGTTTAGTCTGGAGAGATGGAGGCTCAGGGATGGCCTTATGACCCTCTTCAACTCCCTGAAAGGAGATTGTAGCCAGGTGGGGATTGGCCTCTTCTGCCGGGCAACAAGCCACAGGACAAGGTGACATTGTCTTGAACTGGGCCATGGGACGTTTGGATTGGACATTGAGAATAACTTCTTCCTAGTCATGGGGATGAGACATGGGAATGGGCTCCAGGAAGGTGGTGGAGTCACTGTCCCTGAAGGTGCTTCAGGAGTGACTGGACATGGCACTCGGTGCCAAGGTCCAGTTACATGGTGGTGATTGGTCACAGGTTGGACTCGATGGATTCAGAGGGCTTTTCCCACTTAATTGACTCTGTGCTTCTGAGGTTTTTTCCTTTATAATGTTTCCTTATATAGGTGAGAAGAAGCTCGGAACGGTGATCACACCTGATACATGGAAAGATGGTGCAAGAAACACTACAGGTAACCTCAGCAAGGTTTAGCAGCTTGCTTTTGAGGTATTAGAAAGCCAGTTGGGCACCTGAGCTATGTTACCATCTTAAGAGCAAAACTTAATATTACGAATCAAGTTAAATATTAAGTCATGTACTTTCCCTCCCATGCTGATTTAATGCACTGGGAATTTATTTGTCCAGAACTCTTCAGTATTGAATTTGCCTGGTTTTGTTTTCTGTTTTTTTCCTTCTTGCATGGGAGGACAATACATAGAGTATTTAAATGGAGCATAAAGTGTTCTGTTACACTGTCCCCTAATGCTGTGCTGAATATTTTATCTGTCTTTGTGACTCTATTTGCATATGTGTAAAAGTTGTAAATGAAGATTTTTAAAGTATTCTTGGAAGGGGATAATTGATTTTGGTTGTTTTTTTTTTTTTTGTAGAAAGCGGTGGTCGTAAATTAAATGAAAACAAGGCATTGACCTCAAAGAAGGCAAGGTTAGTACTTAACACTGATTTTGGCTGAGAACATCAATTAGCAAACTAACTGATGTTTCCTGCATAGCTGGGCAACTACTTCAAACTTGTCCAAAATACACTTCATAAATTAAAATTGCAGGGATTATGGTATTTGATTTCTTGGTAAAAATATGTCCATACATATTTCATGGGTGATTTCTGCTCAGTCATAGAGTATTTTATTGCAGTTCTCACTGGAATTGCTAGGATTTCATGCTTTTGTAGGAGAGAAGCCAAGAATACTTATTTTCTGTGCTGAGATTGCCAGGATAATCTCTTGAGCATTTCCTTCATGTCTGCAGGACTTTCTGTTTGCAAGGGGTCAAGGAAGGTGTTTAAGTTCAAAGTCATGTAGTATCTTAATAAAAATAAACATTTTTAGTTCTGCTTTCATGAAGTTGTTGTCTGTGATGGAAGAAATGTCTCTTAATAGGGAAAGTGGGAGCTTTTCTGCATACTTTGTGTAGCCTATTAGAAATAATTATTGTATGTCCCTTTTCTAAATTACAGTTTTTGCTGGAGTTTCTGACTGCACCCTCTAGCTTAGACTTTTTAGGATGAGGCAGAAAAAAGACTTCATTTCAGGATGCATAAATAAAATATTTTTCCTTTTTCCCAGGTTTGATCCTTATGGAAAGAACAAATTTGCAATATGTCGGATTTGTAAGAGTTCTGTCCACCAGCCAGGGTCCCACTATTGTCAAGGATGTGCCTATAAAAAAGGTGAGTTTCACTGAGTGCCAAAATACCACAGTTTGGGTTGGGACAAGAGAGGAGGTACAACACTTAAATTTGTATTTATGAAGAGAAGTACAACACTTCAATTTGTATTTATTTATTAAGATGAGGTTTAATTGCTATCTTCAGCTACTGATAGGCAGGCACAGGGAACATGGAGTCAGACTCTTAGGTACACAGTAATGGAATAAGAAATAATGTACACAGGTTAGAATGTGGGAAGTTCTAATTATATACAAGGAAAGCAATTTTTGAGTCTGGGAGTGATCAAATACTCTGGTAGCAGGAACCATCAGAGGTTGTGGGATCTTTACAGCAGGTATTCAGAGAATGGCTTGAACAGTCCTGAGCCAGGACTGTTCTTTCTTATCCAAGTTGGCTGTTTTGAGTGGGGCATGACAAGAGACTGAAGGAGATACTTTTAAACCGTTGTCATTCTGTTATTCTGCTTCTTTTAGAATGTTTCTGGTGTCTGAAGCAGTACATTTGGAAATTTAATCTTGGCAATTGCTTAGAGAACTGTCATCTAACAAGTTTGATTTTCCTCAAAATCCCAAAAAACCCCTGGTCTTCTAAAACTCAGTTGCTTGTTGCAGTCTCTTTTCTGGTCCCTTCTCTCCTCCCCCATTTTTATAATAACTAAATCTAAAATTCCTGGATGGAAAAAAGCATCATGAAGTCAGTTACATGATTTAATGCTAAAGAGTTCTTATAGCATGAGGTGAACTGATTTTTAGGTGTAGAGCTACAGCTCACCAGCTTTGTTTATGAAATTAATTGTTCAATAAATATATGCTGTGTCACTGGTTTAGCAGCCTGCTGTAGGAATGTTGCCTGCTGAGTCCTCCCCAGACAGCTGCCTGAATCCCATACTGTAGAACCTTGTTCTCATTCTAAAATTTATGTCTGGTTTGGGTGGGCTTCAGGATTTGATCATTCTTTGTGTATCTTTCCAGGCTGAACCTGTTATCTTCATAAAATTAAGAACTTTTTTAATTGAGGTTCTAGCTCTGGCCATCAAAGATGTCATTAGGGCATACTTCTTGAAGCAAATGCAGTCATACAACTCAGTGCTTCAGCTTTTGCATATCTCTGAAATTGGGAGGCAATCTCAAGTTAATTAATCTCAGTTTAAACCTGAAGTCACTATTTAGTGGGCTGAATTTTGGTCTTCAGAGTAAATCATGTGCCATGTTCTCTGCTGTTCTCTTCCCTAATGGACTGCTAGAAGCATGTCCAGTCATGATGTCAGTATATGACACAACTTGGAGAAAGCAGCAGTAGATCAATTTTTTGTCTGCAGGTGAATGTTTGTGTGAATTGAGGTGTGGTCCTGCCAGATAAAAGACTTAGCACCTTTCTGCTTTGAAAGGAGAGGGAAAGATTGAGACAACCCACCCCTCTGCCAAACTTGTGTACATTTTGGTACTCTGGTCTTTTGACTTGACACTCTTAGAGTTTAGGACAAAGTACTTTGGGACATCAGTGTTCAGCACTTCAACTCTCAAGTATTCTTGGTGTTCATTGTTTTTCACTTCTGCTCTATAAATACCTTAATTCTATGAAAACATGTTCTGAACTTCCACAGTTCTCCAAAGCACCCCACCTGTGAATGCCCCATTTAGCAGTCAGTCTGTTGGTGATTGTGTTTTCTTAGTCGTGCTGCTCTCTGCCCATCTCAGGCCTCGTTTGTGTACAGGACTTAAAATGATTAACAGTACACCATTTCTACCTTTTGGTCAGAAGTGAGCCTTTCCTGGCTCTCTTCAGGCATTCCAGCAAATTATAGAGGCTTCCAGCAGTATTGTGAATGATAATGCTCTCAAAATAGAGCTTATTTTCTTCAGAGGAAGGATTACACACAGGCTGCACATATTAATTTGTATTAGAAGTTACAATATTACTTCTAAGTTTGTAGTATCTATTGAGAACATGTCTGAGAACAGATAGATTGTTACTGAGCTCATTTGAACAATTTCTTGAGAAAAATGCTTACAAAAACATAGTGACTGTGTTTTTGAGAAAAGATTTTAATAATTTTAAAATCATTGACACACTTTTTGTGTGCTTATAGGCATCTGCTCAATGTGTGGCAAGAAGGTCTTGGATACGAAGAACTACAAGCAAACATCTGTCTAATTGTACTGACTAGTCTTTTTCTGAACTTTACCTTCTGTGTCTTTGTACAGTAACTTTTCTCTAAAATGATTTGTGAATATTACTTTCTGGATGATAGTACTTGGAATGAGAGGTAAAGACAGCCTGCTTGCCTAAAATGTACATAGTATTTGATTATTGTTGTTTTAGCACTAATATTGACTGGTATTTAAAGGTAATGGCTTTCAGCAACCATTAGAGTTCAAAGGGAAGGAGAAGAAGCAAGTGGATGGGTTGAAACTAGATTGCCATCAGAGCAGAGATCTTTGAGATGAAGACTTTTTTTTTCCCAATCACAAGTCTTCTGCTTGTCTCATGGTCATGTTTTGTAGATGTATAAAATACGAACTTCCATCAACTCATTAAAGTATCTTCATTTAGTTGTATGCCTGTAAGTATTTATAATTATTTTAACCCCAAAGTATTGTGACTTTGTTCTTCAGATTTTAATGCAATTGTCCTGTTGTATTTTGTTTCTGCCTACAATATGGTCGGTTAAATCACAAATTGTTAAGCTAGTGAAATCTGGTGTGTTGCCCTGCCAGCAACCAAGCCCTACTGCTGCTCCCTCACTCTCCCACCATCAGGATTTAGGAGAGAATTGGAAGGGCAAAAGCCTGAAAATGTGGGATAGAGACAGTTTAATAGGGAAAACAAAAGAGAGAATTAATTCACTACTTCCCATGGGCAGTCAGGTGTTCAGCCATCTTCAGGAGAGCAGGGCCCCATCACCCATTATGGTTTCTTGGGAAGACAAACTGATCACTCAGAATGACCCCCTTGCCCCTTTTCCTCCCACTTTATCCACTGAGCATGGTGCCATATGGTCTGGAATGTCCCTTTGGTCAGCTGGGGTCACCTATCCTGGCTGTGTCTCCTCCCAGCCTCCCAGGCAGCCCCAGCTTCATTCCCATTGTGGCAGTGCAAAAGGCAGAAAAGGCCTTGACTCTGTGTAAGCCTGCTCAGCAATAACAAAAACATCTCTGTATTATCAACCCTGTGTTCAGCACAAATGCAGAACACAGCCCCAGTAACCCACTAACAATGAGGAAAATGAACTGCCCCCCATCCAACACCAGCACAGGCTTCAGGACTGATCAGCTATTCCCTTGTTAGCCCCCAAGGAGACTTTACATATGGTATCAGGTGGCCCAAGGCAATAAAATAATGAGCATCGATTTCTAAATATCTCAGTCTCATAATATTCTAAGGTAGTCTGTCTTTTAAATACTGGGTTTGAGTTCTGTGATGTAATTGCTTATATACATGTCAAATTTAAAAGATGAAAGCAGGCTGCCTGTTTTCCAGCTCTGGTTTGATACAAGGAGTCAGTCTCTGAACATGAGAGGCTGGCTGTGGCTCTGCAATTCTTTTGTCTTTTGCTTAGTTTCTACATATTAAACCAATTCCTGTTATGGAGCATAATAATTATTCCTCTGCATGTATTTTAAGAAAATTATTCATTCTTAATTCATGGTTAATTTTTAATTCATTTTTAATTTAGGGTGAAGAATTATTAATTCTTAATGCATGGTGAAGTTTTTACTAGACCTATTAAAGCGTTTACTCCCCTGCATCCTCCTCTTGGCAATTTCATGCTTCTGCAACTGTTTCAACTGTAACAGAAAAACTATCAATGAGAATTTCCCTATCAACAGATTCTGTTTTGGGTTCCTTTTTGTTCTCATATTATTACAGAGGAAACTACATGACTAATGGAAACTGAAAAAATTGCTGTTCCTACTGTAGGGCAAAATGAAGAACACTGGGCTTGCAGTTATCCTCTTTGTTGTTGCCTTCCTGCCATGCAGTTGCTGAAGAGGTAGTTATTTTTGGCATTTTATGTTTGCTGAGAAGCTTTGTCAGGATAGTGGAATGAGCTGGGCCTCCCCAAAGAGAGGAATGCTGCTGCTTTTTATTGCAAAAGCTTCTCCTACTGTAACAACTGCATGGAGATACATGGATTAGCTAGCTGGTGATAGCTTGGTGCTGGCCACTTGTTTCCAAACGCATCAAGGAATTCCCATATTAGTGTATATGACACATCCTTTATATGGGTGAGAGGAAAATGTCTGTAATTGGCTTCAAGTTTCACAGCAAATCTCGTCAGCAGTGTGTGTGACAATTTCAGGTGGCAGGTTCTCCAATAATCCCTGAACTCTTCACCCTTAATGGATATGTGCTGTAGGATTGCTTTTTGCTATTCTGTGAATAAAACTTCTCTTCCTAAAACTGGCCAATATCTCTATTTCAAAAGCATGGCATCACAATTCTTGATTGAATTGAATGTTTATTGCACTCCATAAATATTGGCATTGAATGAATTCCTCCTTTTGAAGGATGTGTTGAAGATTGAAGAACAACAGGAATTTAAATACTGTGATGCTTGGTTCGTATTTTTTTTTGTGAATTGAGCTTTTTCACATTTGTCCTATTTTTTACATTTGTTTTATTACTGGACAGCTGCTTTTGCATGTTAGGATCTGTTTTTGTTGTAAAAGGACAGGTTTTGATTTGGTGGTTTTTTTTAAATTGTGCATACAAACTCTTCTGTTTTTTGGTGGTTTTTTACATACTCAGGATCTTTCATCTGTAGCTCTCAAAGCTCCTCAGCTTCATGAGAGTATCAGTTCCAGAGATCTGTAAATTTTGCTGATATAACACTCAACTTTGAGGAAAGCTCATTTTCCAAGCATTATTTTGAAGTCTCACTGCTTTAAATGTAGATCACAAGCCATCCATCTCCTGAACCTCAGAGATGTACCACAGTTCAAGGCAGCCTTGGCAGAGGAACACTTAAGGGTAGCTATTAAACTTATATACACCCTCTGTATAATTGAATTGTCATATATAAAAGCATATTGTTGAGGCTAAAAATGTTTTGTAAGCATGGGATGTCTTTCTTGAGACATTATGCAGTGAAAAACAAAATTTGTAATGAAAAATTGCCAATTTTGTTTAATGTACTGAAAAGAACACAGTAATATTCCCAGATGATCAGCCTGTTCTCTAAATCACAGGTTACATAAGAGATTTGTGCTGCCAAATTTAGTAGGATTAAGAATTTTCCTTGGTACTGCTGAATTCTTAGTATATACTGTCCTTGCTGTTCCTTTGTGTGCTCATTGGCCAGAACTATTACTGAGCTGAGTGTAAGCAGTGCAAGTACTCTGCATTTTGGTGCAGAGTAAGAAGAGAACAGAGAAGTCAATCAGCTGAAAATTAAACAGGAGCTGTTAAAGGGTATTCTCCCATTCATTCCCATGTTGTTTTATTTTTTTAACCCTGTTCTTCCTGCTGCAGAAGCTGGAGAGAGGACCATCCAAGAATTATCATTTGGCAACACTGTTCCAAAGCATTAAGTCTGTTTTAATTGTTTTCTTGTAGAAATGTGGTGGTGGTTTTTTCCCACTTTGGTTCATTCTGTTCCTTCATCAGCAGAATAATAACCAGAAAGACTTTGTTTTGTACAAGGACATCACTGTCCACTTTGCATTCAGTTTTTCTTGAAAGTGGCCCAGACTTGCACCAAAATCTTCCTTCCTTTTTTTTTTTTTTTTTTTTTGGCAAAGTAAGGGATGTGCAGGTTTCAAATATTATGTCTGTTGCACCTGCTTATTCTGGCATCACTCCTATCATCAGCCCATCTCTCTGCAGTGCCTCAGATTGGACAAATCTTCCAGCTCTGCTCCACTCAGAGATGCTCTGGCTCTGACTCTGCCATTCTCCCCACAGTCCTGGACAAGAATGGCTGGTGCCTTTGTATTATCAGTGGTGATTAAAGCTACATGCAAAAGTTGAAACACAGCTGTTCAAAGTGGTGCAATGAACCATTTTGCTTTATTTTCCTAATACAAAGCTGTAAGATCCTAGACACACAAGGTTCCCCAGCGTGAGAGATTGATTATTCATTGAAAGATGATAGCCAAGAGACAAGCTCTTTGCATCTATAATGACAAAATTTAGTTTATGATAGGGCCTCTGTGCTGTGAATAAAATTCTGGAGCTACCAAAGTCTTTAGAATTCCCCTTGAAAATCATTGCTTTTCTTGGATTGGAACTGGGCTTGCTGATTTCATGTAAGTACATATGGCCTAAATATGTGTCTTTTTCTGTCATTTACTTTGGCTGTTGAAGAATCCAAGAGTGGTTTTTGGCACTGACCTTCCAGTTGTTTAATAAAACTGTCTATTCAATGAGCACTGGTTCAGCATGGGATCATGAACATACCTCCTTTGTTTATGAGTTCCTAATTTGATCACTTGTTTAGAAAATAAATGTGGCCAGGTGCAAAAGGGAATAGAGGTGACAGGAAAACTCTCCCTGAATATCATGAGAGAATGAAAACATTGCTGTATCGCAGTTGAGGTTTGCTATTAAGCTAAAGTATTTTTGCTCTCCCAGTCATCAGAACTGGTTGGACAGTATGAAAAGCTTGATGGCAGCCCTTACAAATAACAGACCCATGTGGTTTTTCTTTTTGTGGGGTTTATAGCTGTGTCTCATATGAAGACCAGTTGGTTTTGTACTGCCTGTCTTCCTCCCAGATGTGTGCTTTTATGGATGAAGTTGTCATCTGAAATTCATCAGGAACTCGTTTTTTATCAACTTTTATGGGAGGGGCCATAGTTGACTTTGCAGAATGTGTGTGCATCGTGCCTGGCTAATTCAGAAAATGCAAGTGCTTTGTTGACAGGGAGTGCTTACTTCTTGTACTTAAGGGCAACAGAAAAAGCTGTGTTCAAGGAACCTGGAAGAATCTGAAATCTTGCCAAGCAACTGAAGAAAGAGATGGGTGAAGTATTCTCCATGTGGGTATTGCTAGTAAAAGGTTACTTTGTTATATGGTTCAGGAAGGCACTACTGACATTTGATTTTTTGCCTTGATGCCGTTTGTGATAAACAGCAAGTAGATTTTTCAGGCACTGGTGATTCAATGACCAAATAACTAACTAATTAGGCAGCCATTTTCAGACTGGCTTTCTAGTAGAAAGCTTCTCAAAACTACTCCTTCCTTTCTGTCTCTTTGCACTAGAAGATGCAAACTGAACTTAGCAGTGTTAGTGACTCATTAGGCATCAGCACTTCCAGCAAATGCACTTGCTGTGTGCTTATCTGCCAAGTGCCATTGGGAAAACAAATGTTGAGGAGGGTTTGTTTTCTGTGTCATCACGGTGCTGATGATTCAATATCAGGATTGTTAACTGTTTCAGGTCACATGCAAACACATAGAACTCCCATATGCCATTTTCTACTGGCTAATGGGTCACATGCATCTTAAATATATCATAACCAGCCCAGTCTCCAGGAAATCATTACTTGCTGTTGATTTTTGGTTGCTCCTTTTGCTGCCATAGAAGGTAAAGATTTTAAGTTGCTACAGCTCCCAAATTGTGTCATGGATGTTTACTGTTCTGATATGTTTACTACTGTTCTGTAACACAACAGTGCAAGTAAGACTATGTGTGACAAAAGGCGTGGCTCTCAGGGAGTTGGCTTCTAGCCCAGTCTAATTGTCATATTTTATTGATCAAAATATTTAAATGCTAATTGGATTAAGCAAAGACTTTACTCTGACATCTTACATTGTCTGTCTTTCGGTGGGAAGCTTTTGAAAAAGTGATGACATGACATTTCAGTGATGAATAGCCCTCTTTTAATGGCTTTCAAAAGCATTGTTTCCTAAAGGATGGGAAGTAAAAAAATCTGATATAAGGGAACAGTTATTCTACCGATTTTTAGATTGATTTAGTTTGGTTTGTTTGTTATTAGAATTCCAAAGAAATCTTTGAAAGATCAGGCATATTTTGTTTATGCAGTGGTGTCAGCCTGAGTTTGAAGTGAGCCTGATGCTGTGACTGAGTCACTCTACTTTAAAATAAATCCTTGTTTGAATAGTGAGGTATTAGCAACAGTAATTGCTGCCTTATCATCAGAATATGTGAAATATAAATTCAGAGACTCACTAAACTGGCACGTTTCCCAGCCTAGCTTAGAAGTAGTGGCCAGGTAAGTAGATCAGTATGGATTTACATAAATTTGGTAGGGCTGCCCTGGAGATGAAGAAGAGGGGTATCATGTACACAGGAATGTGTCATCCTGCAGTGCTTGTAGAGGCATTGAGCAGAGAAACTCCTGGTGGTAGCTAAAGAAAAATGTGTCTGCTAGTGAGGGCAACAGAATACAGGTTCTACAAGTCAAAGTACTCAAATTTAATTTCTGTGGCAAATTCTAAAACATTACAAACAGTGAACTGTGTGAGTGAATCTTTGAAGCTTCTAGGAAAACTTTGTAGAGAGCAGCAAATGCAATTTATTCCTCAAGCTGCTGCTAATATTCACAACCCTTCCCCCACCCCCCCCTTTTTTTTTTAATCCAGATTTGCAGGGTAACAGACAAGCATTTATTACTGGTGAACTTTAAGTGCAGTACTGATAGTTGCACTGAGGAAAAAATAGATGACCTGGTATTATGATGAATGAATTAAAAAGAAAAAAAATTTTTTTTAAAGACTGTCACATTTATTATAAAACAGAAAACTTTTGAAATTATTTATCTTAGCTGAATTAAAAACAA